CATGAACCGGGAGAGATCCAGCGAAGGCTTCAGCTCCTCCTAGAGGGTGTTGTGGTAGCAATTTAGAAACAAGACCCATCATCGACACCATCATTTGGAACATCTTGTCAAACTGAGCTACAAGGACCGACAGTCTTTCGTTCGATTGCAAGAACATTTGCTCTTGACGTTGCCATTGAATATCATTGACTGACTGCTGCGTGGTGCGCCGCTGTTGTTGGAGTAGAGATTGCTGTGGGTGTACTTGTTGCTGCTGTAGTTGGGGCACCGGCCGCTCCTGTCGAGGTGGTGCATTGTGATGAAGAGTCGGACTTTGTTTCCTGTTATTGCTGCCCAGCGGAGGAAACTGTTGTTGGCTCTGAGTGGGTGTGGGATAACTAGTTTGTCCACGGACAGCGTTAGCGTAGGAGCTCGGAAATACAGGATTTGTCCGAGGAATGGAGGTAGGTTGCTGTTGGAGAGTGGTGGTACGCCTTGATGTACTAATTTTCCGCCGACTTGCAATCTGCTGATAGACAATACAACCTTTATAGCTAGCTGTATGGTTGCCGCCACAGTTCACACACTTGACCGGATGAACATCCTTTAAGCACGCCTCCAGGCCGTGCTGTAAGCCACATCTGACGCAGTTGTGGAGTTTTTGGCAGTGATTCTTGGTGTGCCCAAATGCTTGACACCGGTGGCATTGCACGACATCATCCTTCTTATAAGGGAGCTCAACTTGAACCCGTTGCCGACAAAGAGTCTTGACCTCATGAATTTCTTTGTTGTTAGCCGCCGGTTCTAGCTCGACAAAAACCAAGTTGACAAACTGTGTTTTGTCAAATCGGCTCCTAGGTCTGTTGACAAACCGAACCGTGTGTCCAGCTGAGGTAAGGCTTTCCTTAATGTTGTCATCGGGTACAGAATGATGGATACCACGGATAACTACACGGTAGGATCTCTCTTCTTTTAGTTGCCACGAATGGAACGGCACTTTTTTGGCTGTTAAAGATTTAGTAATAGCTCTGTACGCATCAGAGTCTACTGCTAGGATAGATACAGAGTTATTTGGATGGCATTTTAATGAGTACTTGCATGGGTCAACAATTTTGTCTATTGATCTTATGAGACCATTTAGGTTTTCACAATGATTAACCACAATAGGGGGTGGCTTGTGGGAGGCTGGTTGTTCCTGGCATCCAGAAGGATTTTTGCTGTTGTTGTTGTTAGTTGATGAAGAAGAAGAAGTTTTGTTGGCAGCCTGCCTTAATCCGGCAGACGTACTAGGGTTTTCAATAGGTCTGGTCGGTCGATGAGAACCTGCCACCTCAATGTCAGTGTCGATGTCCGATAATTCAGAAAAACGGTTAGCTGGAAGAATGGTTTTAGGGCTATTCGAGTTTCTTTGAACTTTGCTGACTTTATTCGGTGATCTTGATTCGAGGCGACGTTTGTTGTTAGTCGATCTTGGGGTCCACCAGTCTTCGTCGTCGCCGTTAATGGCTGATAATTCCGGTTCACGTTCGTCGAATGATGGTAATGGCTTGGCGCTTGAGGTAGAAGCATATATTCGGCTGAAGTTATTTAACGCTTCTTTCATTGTTTGCTGATGACGTGCTACAGTCTTTCTTATGTTTAGCTCATCCTCGGAGTCTGAAAGGCGAGACATTGTACGATTTTAGGCACTTCCGTGCACTGCTTTACCGACTGGATTGTTAGATGGTCGCTTATCCCAACAGCGACAAGCACTGATCGTAGCCTAGGGGGGCAAGCGCAAGCCCCTCAGCCGGGACGTACTTGGCTCAGACCCGCCGAGGGGTGAATTAAATTTTTATTTTATTAATCTCTTTTTTTTAATTTGTATCGATCGATCGTGATTTTGTTTTCGTTTTCGTCTTCTTATTGTTCCACTTGTTCTGACTAACTGTTCAACTTGTTTTCGCGACGAGCACAACTAACGGGTCGTGGGAGCACTGACAGCGACTTTTTGAAACAATTTACCGGGGGATTTATTTTGCCACAGATGTGGACTTGTCCATTGACTTTTTACCAAGAATTCGTAGAAATTCACAAAAGAATTACGCTTTGCCACAAACGTGGACTTGTCCATAGACTCTACACAATGAAATCCGCAGCAATGCAAAAACGCGTCTGCACTACACGAAAGCATGATCGAGGATTTTGTAGACTAAATAGCCAACTTTGCTCAGCCAATTTAACATAATTACTTGAAGCAAGAAAACCGAAAGATATAATCAGCCCCCCAATTTCTGAATTTATTAAGTTGTTAGTGGAAACTATTAATTCAGGCAGAGTAGAAGTTTGACTGTAGGCTACCCCTAACCACTTTCAGATGATTGAGTGTCCTGCGGCAAATGGCCAAACTTATTTGTCCACTCATTGACAGAGTTGGCAGCGGCAAGTTTTGGCTTAATTTATGTCCCGCAGCCGCATTGAAAAAGCAGCCAGAGCCCGGCAAAGGCTGAAATGCAATTTGCGGGCCACCGCAGTTACAGCAGCAGAAAATTGATTTAGCATTTAGCATTCGCAACTCCTCTTCGCCTGACCTACAGCAGCAGCAATGTTGCGGCAAGTTAGCAATTTTGGAAAATGTCATTCGAAATGTCGCCGCTGGGCTGGCCTACCTGGCTAGCCCCATCATCATTCCGCTTGCAACAGTTTCGACAGGTTTCGTTCGTTACAATCGCAATGGATGAGATGTGATTGAGATCGAGTCTTGAACAATACGCTCTGATTATTTCAGTTCTTTTATTTGATATTAATTCTATTTTTGCACAATTGAAAATCTATTGTCTGGCCGTGTGGGAATGCCGATTGCAAATGATTTAAAGTTTTTATTTTTTTACTTTTTGTTAGTTAGTTTGCTAGTTTATGCTGTGGCGCTTGGCTGGTTTTCATGTAAATCGGCATTCGGCGGTTTGCAGGTTTGCCGGTTTGCTTATTTTTGCACCCAATAGATATCTGTGTTAATTAATTTGGGGCTGTCATGCGAGTTTCTGCCATTTCCATTTTTGCCACGAACATGTTTATTTAACAGCATTTTCTTTTTTTTGCTGTTGTTGGTTTATAATTTAATTAGCTGGCTCTTAATATTTAAGGCCTCAACTTCTTTGTTTCGCTGCCAGTCAGCTGCAATAATGTTTCTCTGAGCTGTGCTAAATAATTTGTACTTTTAATTAGGTTTTTTGTTTTTTTCTCATTATTTATTTACAGCCGTTAGTGGCTGGCTGTTTGTTTTCATTTTAGCCAATAGCGCGTTGAAAATCGCTGGCTAATCGCACGCAAATCGCGTTTGAGTTTTTTTTTCTCATACCTGCCCTTGGCCAGATGTGCCACAAAAGTGAGAAATTTAATTCGGCGCGTGTCACAGTAAAATCGAGTTTGAAACGAAACAAAAAGGCCAACACGTGACTGGAAAATGAATTCGAAATTTTGTATTTTTTTGTTGGATTTTTTTGTATTTTTATTTGTGCCAAAGCAGCAGCGAAACAGAATGTTCTTAAAAGCCCTGCTGTCAGTCATAAAATGGCATTAAAGGCAGTTAAAAAGTTGTTTTATATTCGTCGTCGAACGAACTTATTGCCCGGGGTGATTAAAATCTTAAGGCAAAGCAATTGCAAGGAAATAAAAGTGCAAAAACAACATTCAGCGGGAGTCTAAAGTTAGGGAACAAAAGAAGTAAGAAACAACAACTTTCCTCAGCAACCAAACACGCATCTAAACAGTTTAGAGGCATGCCACACAGTGTTGACATTCGGCTAATTAACTTTTAAGTGAAATACAAACTCAATGTGCCACAAAATACCTGAAACCCTAGTGAAAAAAGAGCAAAAACCCATTAACCTTTTCCTCCTCCTGGACATGTGAGTGTATGTTATTAGAGAGCCCCCTAAAAGTAGGCTAGCCAAAAACAACCTAATGGAGGCCAGCCCAGGCCAATGCAAAGCAGTTGGCAGGACTACTGTGTTCAGCACTTTCTGGCTCTCTATTCTTTATTTTTATGTCAGCTTCTTGGTCCATAAAGTCAGGCGCCGCTTGGCAATGTCAGCAGAAGGAATGGTAGCCGGATTAAGGACAAACGGCAGGAGATCTAAAATGCAGGCGCCAGAATGGCGCGGCCTGAAAACGCCGCACAGTTAAACATTAGTTGGCAACATTTGCAATTGTAATGACTCGCCTCTAAAATGCAACCATCCGTTAAAATGTATTCAACGCTGGCACATCCTTCTCCACCATCAGGACTCAAGAGCAGGAGCAATGAGACAGGTGCAATTAACACGGAAACTATGGCAGGCGGGGTGGGGTCATGGGAGTATGCCTCCCTCTGAACTTTGAGCATTTGAAAGCATTTTGTTGGATGCAAATTAGTCGGAGATTAGAGTAAAAGTTATCCAAGGCTAGGCTAGGCTAGTCATTATAACATTTTTACTTCAGTTTCGAACTTTTCTGAAATAGTAAAAGTAGTAAAATTATTATTGAGTCTGCCAGTGCTTTTATAAAGTTTGCCAACTTTTCAAGGTATTTTTTGGTTTTATAGAATTCTGAAAAATTCCTGAAACGGACATAAAGTAGCATTTAAATTTGAGTTACATAAAAGTTTTGAGGGAAATGGAAATAAGATGTTACTTTAAGATGAAAGTTCATTGATTTTAAGTTTGTTTTCGCTTTCAAAAAGTTTCAGAATTTTCTAGTTTATTACTGGAGAGACTTAAAATCAACTTTGATAACTGCCAAATATAAAAGTTACCCTAAGAAGTACCTCATTCCTCATTCAACTCTTTAGTGACGATAGAAAACAAGATTGAAAAGGTTAGGACAGCCCATCAAACACAAAGTATTTCAATTTTCACGATCCATGACCAGTCAAGTATCTCCCTGAACTGCTCTACCAATAACTCAAATACTACGCAGAATTCCCCATATCGACCAAAGAACGAGAGCAATTTTCACAATCAATCTGCCAATCCGTGGCAGACGTTTTCGTTTTCCATTTACAAATGGCAAATAGCTTTTCTGGCTTTTCCGGCTTTGCAACCGGCGAAACACCAGAGTCGCGCTCCTCACGCTTCATTTGGCAGCTCAGGTGGGTAAAAAAGCTGCTGGCTAAGCAATTTTTCCCCAATCAGTCAAGGATGCACGTTTAGCCAGCCAGCCAGCCAGCCACCCACTCACACACACATCCATCCATCGATTGCGGTGGCGAAAGGCGGTAAGCAAATAGTAAGTCCTTTGGCTTAAACGCTTTGCAGAACAAACTTTCCTGTTCTCGCTGCCTCGTAAAATTTGTTTGACTTTTATAGTCTGCAGAGTCTGTGAGTCGTCTACCTTCGCGTTTGGCTCGAATGAATGATTGCAATGCCAGTCGACACAGCGGGCAAAACTAATGTTTACGACACTGCAGAATCACCATTGGAGCTTCATTTAACCGGCGGACAGGTGGCAATGGCTCATAAAATCGAGGCAATACCTTATGCACTTCATGGCCATCTATTTTCTCCCCAAATGGGAAGGTAATTCATTGCCTTTAACAAGGGGAAATTGGTCTAGAAAGCAGAAAGAAAACTAAATAATGTTGTGATAAAGTAGGAGAACCTTTAGGTTTAGGTTTGTTAGTAAACATCCTAAATTTATAGCACTTATCACGGCCTAAAATCATGTTTACGGTCACAGACTTAATCCTATACTAATTTATAGGCCAAGAAATCAAGCAATTAAACTTGGCTAAAAACATAAATAGCATTACAAAACATATTCATACAGGCATTTCAAATAATTTATGGCTTTTTGAATTTACAACCAACTCTATAACGACCTCGAAATTTACCCCCTTGGCATTATCCTTTTGCAGGGGCAAGGACAGCTATAGTTACCAGCACAACTACGTGGATCGGGTGCGTTTAGAGGACACCACTGGTGGACACCATCACAGCAACCACCTTCAGCAAACCACCCATGATCCGAGGTGTCCACAGCTGAGAGCCGCTGGCTGGAGGCATACCCACAAATCCGTTTCCCATCTCGACTTGGCCACCAGCTGTCATGAAGCAGCTGGCTCTGGCTTAGGTCGCCACTCCCAGCAGCTCCTCCATCATCATCACAACCAAGCGAATCCGCAACAGCAGCAGCAGCAGCAGAACCACCACCATCTGCATCACTCACACCACTCTCATCATCCACACGCCCAGCCCCACTGGACCCAGTGCCGGGTGGGCGTGGCCGGAAGCGGAAACGGGCAGCTGAGAAACGCTCGATCACTGGACTATACCCAGCTCGAAAGGGAGGAGAACGCCTTGGATATTGCCGAGTTCTATTGGCGTTTCGATGCGGAAGCTCCGCTAGACCAAGTCGATAGCTACGCGGGTGAGTGACGGCCTTCGGGTGGATAGGATCCACTCGGCCATGTCGTGTATTGGTATTATTGGACTTGGAATAGAGATCATAGAGATATCTGCTTGATTGTCAGATAAAGATATCAATTTTCTTGCTAATTAACTTGGCAAGCATTAATTACTTATATAAATGTTAATAAATCCTTTCCTTTAACTTTAATCCCCCTTTCAGTACTTCCAATCAACGATAACTTTGAGCCCTCTTCACTGACATCAACGGCTGTTGGCTCCTCAAAGGAGGCGGCGGCAACCACAACCAACACATCCGCAAGCTCTGGCAAGGCAAATGTTGGTGCAACAACCACAGCAGCAACCACAGCCGCTGCAAACGCCTTGCTGGACATTTTGGGCAGCGAATCGTGCAGTTTGAGAAGATCGCGAAGTTTGGCCGTAATACGTGAGGAGACATTTAGCGACCTGCAAATTGGATCGGCAAACAGCAGTCGTCGTCGATCGCAGCTAATACCGCGTGCCCGGCTCGTTAATCGCGGATTTTTCCGTGAATCGCCCAGGTAAGTGAGTCAGAGGCATTGCTTGGCATAAATTCAACTATTTTTTGGGGTATTAAAGAAAAGCTAAGTTTTGAGGCAACACTTTCTAGGCCTTGAGGAAAGTAACAATTGAAAATCGTGTAGGAAAATCCATTATAGGAAAAATTAAGTGATAGATGTTGATGTTAACTTTTCGGGGCTTTTTATTGGGCATTTTTTCGTAATTTTACAAAGTTTACTTTTAATGATTTCAAAACCTTAGAGATCTCACCGCCCAACTTGTTTTCTATAACCATTTTCCAAGGCATTTAACTAAATATTCCATTGATTTTCCAAGTAATATTCCCATTTAAAGTCAAACTGTACAAAACTATACCCTAAAGAGTATTTAAGTAATCGCTTTTCTCCACCCTAAACTCACAACTTTAAGATATGTTTGAGCACAACTGGCGACAGTCTAAAGAGAACTTTGTTTTGCCAACACGCATACGCCGCGTAAACACCGGTCGATTCAAGCTGAATTTGGTCGTGTCAGGCAGCAGGCATCAACCATCAGTCGTTGAGCGAAGCTCGCCGCAAACTCAACAGGTCTCGGCACAATTTCCAGTTTAAACAATTCACAGGCCGCCGGCCAAATTGTTGCGGTCGGTTTGTTGTCGCTGTTTCATTTTCCGTTTGTGCTCGTGTAGTGCTGGTTTCGGTGGTTTCTGTGTGAGAGAGCTTTTTTTTTTGTTTCTGACTTTGACAACCGGTCAGGGTCATTATCCCGAGGTCATTGTTGCATTAAAAGCGCCTGCAAATAACCTGCGCTCGTCGATTAAACCTAAGCCTGATTGGTGACAACTGCAAAATCGAATGTTACATAAGAATCATTTCATTTTTACGAGCACTTAATTTTTAGTGCGGGGTATGTAGTTTATCCCCCTTTTTTCTCTTTCTTTTTTAACTTAATTAAAATTGCAAAAGTTTGTTGTTAGTCAATTGTTTGCCCAGCTGCATGTATGAGTTGCATGAGTTATCCAGGGAAACTGTGACAGTAAGCTGGAAAAAGCTTTTAGCTACGCGCTACTCATTCTGCCATTAACACACACACGTTATCCTTCGCATCCTGACAATGACAGCTGCCGTCGACGTTGCCATGGCACTCGGAATCGCATCCTTCCTGGTCTAGTGCACTCTGTCCCCTCCGCTACTTTTTTTTTTATTTAATTTCCCGCAAATCATCGCTTCAAGTGGCCGGGTAAACTATCAACCTTCTCCCCACTCGATCTCGAGTGCAATGTGCAACTGAAACGGATGCGGACCAAAGTGCCATCTAGCTGAAGTTAGGTGCGGGATAATAGAGGCGGCTTAGACTTGGAGTTCTCTATAAGAGGGTCTTCAGAACGAAGTACTGATAGAAAGGAAAACTTTATGAAATCTACACGGTTAATTTTTGATATTTTAGGAACAATTTAAAAAATATTTAAGTGGTTTTTCTTCTTAAGAACTTTCACAGCAAAGCCATTAGCAGATGTGCAGTTTTTATTCCACACAAAACAAGTTTTTAAGCCTTAAGCCTTGTTCATTGAAAATTTGAATTTAGAAGGGAAAACTATTATTTTTGTGCTAAGCAAACACAGGAAGTTAACATTAAATATTATTGAAATAAAATCAATATTGATTGCAGCTATAGTTTGATTATTTTTGTATTTTTTGTATATTTTTCAACGAGCAATAAAAATTGGTAAACCACAAAAGGCAAATAAACGATGAAATTTGAGTGCTCAGCAAAATTACTTTTACGTCTAAAGAAATATGCAAAAATGTCCATTTAGGTTAGATATTTCTTTGATATTAAATTGAAATTTTCTTTAGTTTAACTTCTGTTTATTAGTTTTCTTTTAAAGAACTCTTCCCTAAGCTCTTTTCTAAACAATATCCAAAAAAGCAAGAGGAAACGTTTTCCACTTTAGTGCAGCAACATTCTCTCCAAGCCCATGCCTTCGTCAACGATTTGACACATTTAATTTCATGTTTGCCCCAACAACTCTATCAATCACCTGTCGTAGTTCTCGTTTTTTGCTGCAGTTGGCTGGCCATTTGAATGACAAACAAGAACCCACTTTTGACTGCCTGACACTCTCAGTTTGGTTTGTTCTGTTTGTTCATCTGATTTGTGCGAATTGATTGATTGAGACATCACATGACTGAAACGTTTGCAATCGAGGCCCTTCAAACGAGGCCAAGTGGGAGATCTAAAGGCTGGAGTCATCATTTCCATTAGATGTAATTTAGTTATGATAGGCCAAAGGCACAAACAATGGCACACTCATTAACGAGCCCATCCTCCCGTTTCGATTCTCCCACCCACAGATTGAACGGCAAACCGAATCAGGCGACCTTGGTGGGTGAGCAGACAGCAGATCAGCTGGCGGATGACACCCACAGCCAGAGAAGCAACTCGGGCACTTGCGATTCGCATCAGCAGCAGCAGCAGCAACAGCAGCAGCAGCTACAACAGCAGCAGCAACAGCAACATCAACAGCAGCAACGGCAATCGCGTGACTTTGATGTCTATTATGATAATCTGAAACGCTTGGACGCCTTGGCTTTGGGTCTGAGTGAGCAACTGCATCCTTGGCACAACGACAAGAGCGACTTGGAGAGCTTGAACTCGGACTACTTCAAGAACTCCCTGCATCAGAACCATCTAGATCAACAGCAACCTTCTTCCCTGGAATTTGAAGCCCTCGAACAAGTCGCTGTTAGTTTACTGAAGGAAAGACCTAGGATCTATCAATCCAGACGACAGCAGCAGCAAAGGAATCATCACCACTCCAACTGCCTACAACGTCACTTGGATACAGGTGGAGAATCCTGTCCAGAACACAGTCAAAGTAGCGTTTTTCCAGAGACCACCACCAGTAATTCGGATGATCAAACAGATAGTCCTTCGCTTTCGGAACAGGAATACGATTTAACCCACATCGAGGAGATCTACCAACAGGGCAATCACGTGGAGGAGAGCTACGAACTGATTAGTCTAACCACCACTACAAGGACACGATTCGAGAGCAGCGAGGAGGGTGAAGAAGAGGAGACCGGTGAGGAGGCTGTGGAAAGTCTGAAAACGCCCACGGAACCACAAACCAGCGACACGGACAGCACTTTAAGGCAAAACAACAACAAAGATCAGTTGGACAAGCTGATAGCCTATGATTCGGTGTATCTCTCCTCGGAAGACAGTTCAGATTGCACTTTGATTGGCGAGAGTTGCGAGTCCTTTGAGCAGCGAACTTTCACTAGTTGTGGCGAAAGTGGCGAGTTGGAAACCCGCAGTTTACTACACATTTCCATAGAGGATACGGTCTACGAGCCACAAGCTAAGCAGCACAAGAAGAGCGTTTATCAGGAAGATCAACCTGCACCCCTGCTAACCTCCACAGCCAAAGTTGAGGCTCAGATCTTCACCCAGGTACTGAAAGTAGAACATACACCCAAACCCAAGATCCTGGCAGTGGTGGAGAAACGTAAACTCAAGCAAGAGGAAGTCAAGCAGCAACCGCCGGAACTGAAACGTCAGGCAACGGATTCCTTTGTGTTAACCCCCAATAAATCCAATCTCACAGAGAATCAATACCATAGCCTGCCGGATGTCAATATAGGAGTGAGTCTGAAGGTTTGCGAGAATATAGACAAGGAGCTGAGATCGTCCTACAACCAGCAGAGGCAGCAGCAACGCAAAGAAGCCAAAAAGGAGCAGCAGGTGACCCGGGCGGAGACCTACGATTCCATTAGACGTTTCGGACGGGCCCATCAGAAGGCCAGGCAAAGGGAGTACCAGGAAAGGGAAAGGGAACGCGAAAGGGAAGCTTCAGTAGCTCAACAGGAAAAGGATAAGGAAAGGGATAAGGAAAAGCCAAAGATAAACAAGGACTTCTCCGCACAGGAGCGGCAAATTGATGTGAAAGAAACGTCAAAGACACGAGAGTTAATCAAGGGAAAAGAGGAAGTTCCAAAGGCTAAAGAAGAGGAGGAGGAGGAAGAGGAACCACTGCCACCGCCGCCGCCACCTTTCGCCGAGGAATCTCAAGCAGAGGATACACCAACGGATGTAGAAGAAGAGGAGGACAATCTATCTGTATCCATTGCCCAACCGGAACAACCCAAAGAGGCGCCCGCCATTGAGGTGGCCAATTTCAGCAGGCTAATCGAGCGTCGTGCCCAGGAAATCCGCGAGCGACAGGAGCAAATTAAGGATACGCCATCCTTTCAAATCATCGTCACCGACGCCCAGAACAATATCATCCAAAAGGAGGCCATCCAAGAGAACAAACATCACGAAACCACACCGCGGACTAACACCAACCCGACGACGAAACCAAATTCAAACTCAAATTCAACTTGTAATCCCATTCAACGCCCTCTTCGCCGCTCGGTGAGCTCTTCGAGTGGCAAACCGCTGGAACATCGCATTCTTAGCACCGGTGCTCCAATTTACAAGGCTCGACCTGTCAAGGTTCTGCCCTCCTCCAGCAGCGATTCAAGCTTTTCCCGGGGCAAAATGTCACGACCCCAGATACTGCATGTTGTCGATGGCAGGGGTGGGTTGGCAGGTGGCACCCTGCGACGTCGGAGCAGTGCTCGGAGCTTAGCCAGCACAATTAGCTCGACAGGAGGCGAGGTGGCTAATGAATATCTGCAGAAAGTAGATGCAGTCAGATGCTATTGGAACAAGCTGGCGGGCAATGAACCAGAAACACTAAAAACAGAACAGCCGCCAAAGGAAACCCAGCCAGGCATTCACTTCCAGTTGGGTGGAGAAACCACAACACAATGTACGGATAAATCCCTCCCGGCTGGCAATGATTTCTGCAGCATGATGCCACATCCATCCATAGAGATTGTGGAGTTGGGTGAGGGTGCTCAAAAGGCCACCATTGTTAAGGCTGCTCCGGAGCAGGATGAGGATCCAGATGAGGATCAGGACCAGTTCGATCATATAAGGTATAAGGTTCTGAAGTCTCAGCAACTGATACGCAACAACTTCCTTTCCACGCGAAACAAAAAGGAGGCTCAGTTCGATGGCCTCATTCAGTACCTGCAGGAATATAGCTTCCAGGAGTTGCTGAGTAATAACAATGTGGTTATAGTGGAGCCTGTGAGGACCAAAATAGAACGACCTTTACAGGTTGGCATTAATAATGTTACCACGACTACAACTATTCCACCACCAAAACCTCCAAGGGTAGTGAATGCCTCTGGCTCCCAGCCACGCAAAACCCGGCAAAGACAAATTGGAGGAGCTGCGGCCAAAAGGCATTTCTTCTACCAACCCGTTAGGGTAAACAGAGAGCTCTACGAAGATGAACTACCAGATCCTGATACAGTACGCAATGTTCGTCGCTTCTTCGAGCAGAATGTCCTGCCCACGCCTGGCCAGGGATTGCTAGTGCAATCCCAGCAAAAGTTTGGTGGTTCTGCCTGTCAACTGAGTCCCAAATCAAGACGAGCCAGGGGCTATCGATACCTAACCATCGATACGAGTTACGGGGGAGCTGGTGAAGAACAGCCCAAGGGTATGGAACTACTGGAGGAGCACAAGGCCAAGCACTGGGACAATGCGAGTTTATCGAGTGGAATTTCCAGTGGTGATTTGAGTTCTCCCTGCGGGGAGTATCAGCATCAGGAATCACCGGTCATGGCCTGCAAAGATGTTCATGTCCAGGACGTTGTTCGACGACACAATAGCAATGCTGCCAATGCCAAAGCTCGTGCAAAATTCGCCAGTCGACGCACCTGGTGTATGGGTTCAGGTTCTGGTGGAGGAACAGGAGCAAATGAGTCCCTTTATCGGCAAATTTATGAAAATAATTTAGGAAATTCCGAGCAGCAGGAGAATGGCGAGCATCTGGAGGAGGAGGACGATGAACAGGATGACCAGTACGAGGATGATGTGGAGCAGGATATGTGTGAGAACTATTACGTCAGCAATGTGAGTACACAGAAAGAAAGCCAAAAGCATTCTTATCACATGAGATTTGAATCCTAGAAAGTTGTACTTAAAATAATGGCTTGATAGTTACAGTTTTTCAATGACTTAAAGTTCTCCAAAAGTAGGCTTAATAACATGGTTAAAACTATATAAAACTAAGGTCTTAAACCCTTAATTATGCTTTCATTAGAAGTAAAAACTTAATTAATTCATAGCTAATGAAGATATTCCATTCCCAACTTCAAGCTTCTATAACTTCTGACTTACGTAAGCCAAATATTTTTTTTGGTAACTGTATAGCCTTTAGGGTGCGGCCCTTTTGCGTGTGGCTTTATGGACCATTAGCCTTTGATGACAGTCCGTTGGCTAATCTTTTCCTTTTTCCTTTGCAGGACGTGCTGGCCAAGATAAGGGAGTGCGGCTCAACTGTCACCTACTACGGAGGACGGGTGCTGGATAAGACCGCAGCCAGCAGCACAGTTCCGCCCACAAAGCCCACTCAGCCGATGACAGGGAGTGGCACCCGCTCCCGAATACGTCAAATAGAGGCCTGCAATGTATGCCTGCCGAGCGAGAGATGCGAACATCGATTGCAAACCAAACAAGCCTTGGAAGAACAACAGCAGGACTCATATCAAGGTGGGCAGAAAGATTCATTCTGGTCCTGAGACCATTCTCATAATTGGGTTATGCAGAGAGAGAAATAATATCCTTAAATGCTAACAATTTGTCTTAATAAACAGTAACTGAGAGATAGTTATAAACTTGATCACTAAATCCTTAAACCACCCACTAAAAACTTAACAAACAACTTTTATTCCCAACATAAACCTCTTCATAACTTCATCCTAGACCGAGATGAGCATAAAATCCTCCTCTGACAAAATGACAGTAAAAAACCGATATGATTCTTCTTTTTCTTTCACTGTGCGCAGGCATCAAATTTAAGCTGGTCAAGTCCAACAGCTGCAGCAGTCGCCTGGAGCTGGCCGGAACTGGAGAAGATGAGGTCAGCGCCGATAGCGAAGTGGTTCGAAAAATGGTTCATCACTTCGAGGCGAATCGAACGACGACGGCCGGCAATGATGTCCAGCTGACCATCAACAGTCAGAGTCAGATAACGTTGTCCAAGGAGAAGGAGTTGGAGATGGAGAGGGAGCTGAAGGAGCGGAAGGATGAGGTCCCGCGACGCCAAGTGACAGTAAATAATCACATCAATGTGCTGGGGGACATGCCCCAGGAGCTCGAGAGGGCTGAAAACTTTAATGGTCACCCGGAGAATGGTTACAACGGCTTTACTATGGACACAACATTCCCCACATACGAAAGTCAGGCCATGAACATACGCCTTGATGTGACTGAGAATAAGAACAGCCAGCAAACTGGTGCTGCCACTGCTGCTGCTGCTGCTGCTGCTGCCAACAAAGTTTGTCGCAATAAAAACGTTGACTTGGCCTACACTCTGGTCAAGACAACGACAAATCCTCCCAAGGGCAAGCCCATCGAAGCTCCGCGTCAGAAAATTGGAATTCGAAAGCAGCAACAGCGCGAAGTGGAGGAAAATTCGAGCGAAACGATTGCCGTGACAAAAACCATCAAACTGACCAAGGTCTCGCCACAAATCATAGTTCCCGTGGATATTCACAGTCAAACCTCGATAGCTGCACCAGCAGCTCCCATTCCCGAGCGTCGTCTGAGCAATGCCAGCAGCAGTAACTCTGTGGTGGACAAGACCGTAGTTCGTCATTATGTGGCCAATGATAAGAGCATCTATGAGCGTCGCAAATACGATGAGATTGAGTTCGAGGAGTTTGAGGTCTACGATCCCAGCAAGGAGCCACCACCTGCACCGGTGGAGGAAACCCCCGAGAAAATCCCCACAGATGCAGAGCTCTATGACAGTCTCGATGATAAAATGTAAACGAAAACTAAATGCTCAAAAAAAAAAGGAAAGGAAAATCAGCAACGATTGAGGTTTCGGGTTAAACTAGCTTTAACCATATTGGTAGCCTTAAATTAGCTTTACAGGTAAAGCCAAAAAGTTTAAACCATAAACCATATCCAAAGTATGATATATATATATATATATATATTATTATTTAAATGTAATTTGCAAAACAAACCTTTGTTCACCTGTACATTATAAATTTATACTTAAATAAATATGCAATTTATTTAACGAGCTCCGACAGCTGTCGTCTAATTATTTATTATGCATTTAATTTACAGAAGCCAATGGGCTGCACGCTCTTTTTCATTACAAAAACAACTGTCTAATGCCTTTCAAAGTGCAGATAAATGAGAGACCACAACAGCCACTAATTGGTCAAACTAATCTTTAATTAATCGATAATTTATAGACTTGAAGCAAAGACTCATCTGGAGGTAATAATGAGATTAGAAAGGGGAGACACATTTCGTTGTTTAATCAATTACAAATCATGATATTCGATTTGGTATTTGCTAATAAAATTTGTCAATTAAGATGTTAGATGTTGGTAATTCCAAAATTCAATTACTTCCTTAGTGTGAAAAACAAAATTTTGTGTGCGAAAAGTTAAAAATATTTTCATGGCTTACCCTTAGAAGTTTTCTTTTTAGTTTTCTTTCTATTCATTAACAGTCTCTTCTTTTTTTTTCTATTTATGATTCTTTTCTTGATTAAATTTTCTTTACCTTATAAGAGTTAAATGCTTTAATTTTGATTTTCTCAAACCTACAAAACTTACACAATCCTTTGGTTTCTATAAATTTTCTAATTCTGGTTATCAAATCAACAGGAACAGCTTCTTGATTCATCGCACTCTCCTTCAAACCTTTCTCTCTACAAGAAGAACTACTCTCCCCGCCAAACTCTTGATTCAATTTTGATTCCTTTTCTTTTTGATTTCCCTTAACTTCTGCTTGCTCTTCCACATGTCGACTTGAGCTGTGACCTGTGATGGAAATGATTGATAAGCTCGCATTTCCACCCACCCCACAATGTTGTCAAATCCAATCAGTTATCCGCATTAAAAGCAAAATATTTACAGAATATCTCCAACGAGATCCCAATCCCCAACCACACTCACCTCCCGTCGTCGGTTTTTTATGCTTGTCCGACTTTTTGCCACCGCTCGCTTCATCATCCTCCGCCGTAGATGCAAAGCTTCTGTGCTGCTGCTGTAGCTCATGGCCTGGCCGTAAGTGCTGGAGGAAAGGGAGGAGAAAATATTTGCAAATTAACATTAATGACTCCATTTCGCAATATTGATTGTGGCTTAAATTGCCCATAGATCTTGCTACTGCTGCTCAGTGGCATGATAATGCATGCGTATAAAGGTAAATTATATGCCCCTATCATCATGAAAAGTAACGATAACATCACAGTGCGTATGGGAGTGATTTCAAGGGAGTGCACCTTAGGGTGGACCTTCTCTAAATTTAAGTATTAGATATAAGAGCTACCTAAAACCGAGAAATTTATGATTTTCGGAAAGAAAAACTTATTTTTCTTTAATATTTCACCCAAAAAAAAGTTGATTTCTGCAGCTTTAAAGTCCACCCTAGCTTACTTTGTACATTCTTCTAAACATATTCAGTGACTCCCACTTCTGTCCACATTTTAGAACTGGCATTCTTTGCATGTTTCGGCTCTACCTAATTAAGTTAAAATGCTCCCTGGTGAAATCACGTGCTCCCCATAACGAAAGACGAAAACGACAACGAACTGGCACTCAAAACAAAAGAAGACGAAAAGCGGAAAAGGAAAGGGAAATGGGAGAAGGGAGAAGGGAAAATGGGATGCGTAAATACAGTTATTGTTAGTGAGTTTGTGTGGCCTTAGCCCACAACCCGGTCTCCGTCTGTCACTTTTCTTTTACAACTTTTTTTCCTTCTACCAGCAACGTTGCGTATGAGTAATCACACACGCAGACAAAAACACACACAGACAAACACTCGAGGGAGGACACAAACGGGCAAAGGAAATCGAAACCGTAACCGTTTACCTTGTCATTTTGACAACAATAACAAGTTGGGACGCTGGAAAGGATTTCAAAGTTGCAAAATTCTCAAGTTTAGAGTTTTAACAGGAAAAGATTTAATATTAAATATAAATATTTAATTTTAATTTTAATTTTACAACAGTATCCAAGTTTATAGCCTATGAATTTGAAATTACTTAATGTTTAAAACTGTAAAACCACTTAAAATGTTAAACTCTCCCAAAGGCACGTTGAAAGTCTGTTGAAAGTGCTTAATAAATTCAACAACAAATCCCATAAATTAAACTTGGCAATAGTGAAAACCATTCCGACATCTCCATTTCCTTTAGTTATTCAAACTCACAGAGCTGAAATATATACAAACCACCCTCGCAGTTTGAACTTGTGCTTGAAAATATAAAATAACATTGCATAATTTTAGGTGCAGCTGTCAAAGTGTGTGGATGTACAGCCGTATATATGCAGCCGTTTTAGACCCGAATGGGGAATTACGGGTTTTCTCATATGGTATGCACGTGTTGTGCGCCGTTTTCAACTTTTACTGATTGGATTTCACGCTTGACTCCAATCAGGCCCTTCAATAATTTAGGCCCTTTCGAATGCGCTTGAAAAAATGTAGGAAAATCAAATGTTTCCCACGAGTAATTGAAATTTAAATGGCAAATAAATTCCCCAAACACGCGCCCACGCAGTCCATATATCAAATTTTGTTAGCTCGCCGCAGAAACTTTTGGTGATTTGTTGCCGCGCATTATTGATGGACTTTGCCTTCAAATGACAATGCTGCAGAACATTTCTGACAGTTGGTCAGAGTTTTCCTTTTCCGTAGACTGCGAGGCAAAGCCGGAGGGTAAAGGCAAAAGTTATGACCCCCGACGAGCTGTTAGCCAGCATCAAATGTTAAAAAGTTGCCCCACAGGCATTGCCAAGGAAGCAAATGAAACATTAGGCGGCACATAAATTTAACAAGCTCCGACAGACAGCCAAAGAAATCCAAGTTTCAGCCGGCAAGTATGCCACATTTTTTTTTGTTTTTGCTGGCAAAAGTTTTTACGATCGTCCAAATAAATTGAAATCGCAGCTCAAGCTTAGTTTGGCTTATTCCCCGAGATGAAAATGAAAACGTAATTTCATAAATTACACCTGCTGTTTTTCTCGGTAGAAGATAAGCTGAAAGTTGTCACCGCAACTTGAGTCAAAGCATTTCCAAGTTAATTTCTGCTTTGGGGCAGCTTTAAAAGTGAGGAATCAGCCGTATGCAAGCTTCAAAACATCCTTGGCCTCTGTCTGCGACATGTTGCAGCAATTGTCCTTTAATGAGCCCGACAATATTATGACCACGTGCGGCGTTCTAGTCTCCGCTCAAGGCAGCTGTTGGGAAAACAAGCCAGCACACAGGACCAGCCAGGATAAAAACACCAAAACGAGGACAAAGAAGGCTCTCAGCATAGAGGAAAATAAGTAGAGGACCTGGGCCCATAACAATAAGCAAAAGGAGAGCTCTCTGTCTCGGGATGCCTCAAATCTTTTTCGTCTGGAAAACAACGAAAATGCCAAACAAAAAAGTCTTCCAACATTAGAGATAAAAATAAAATTACAGTGGTTCGTGTAATTTGCATAACATTTTCATTTCTCTCGTTCATTTGGGGGCTCCTCTCTTCAAATTGCTTTTCATATTTTAAAGCAAGAAAGCCAGCCTAAAGACAGACTTTAAGTTGATTGAAATTAAAATTTAAAACCTCGATGATTACAAGAAAGTAAAACAAAAAACTAAAAAGAAAATCACAAAAGTTTAGTACATAAAATAAATCATGACATTAACATATTTCTTGCCCCTCTTTTGAGTGATTTAAATTGTTTTTTATGTATTTTATTATTGCCCCATTTTCTAGACAACAAAAACTTTGAGAAACTTCCCAGCGAATTTCTAAATTAATTGAAATTAAATTTTAAGGACCCCTTGCAAAGAATTCAGCATGGAAAGTTGCCGTTCCAGGAAGTCATGCATGCCAGAAAGTTGTGGGACAGGCGAAACCCTAGGCAAGCCCACTCGTCTTACAGCCCTTTGTTCTTGGCCAACAAAGTCGCGTGTCAAGTGGTGCATTCCTGGGCTGCTAGCCAAGAATAACACGCCGTCGTCGAGCATATTGTTCCTTACGCGTTTGATTGTCTCTGAATGAGCTCGTTAAGACCGGGCCAAATGGAATAATGAATACCCATCAAGGCAATTTGTCCGTTCCACCGTTGAAATGCAAGTTGAAGTTCTTCGCACAGATATATGTATTTATTTAATAGCTCGTAAAACGAAGAAGTCTCTTGCTAAGCAATTTATTATTTAGAAATTGAGGCTGCTGCTGGCAATGAATCATAAAAGTAAAACGAGTGAGCAAATCACCAAGGAAATGAGATTAGTGGAACGACGACATCGAAGACAGGATAAGGCTTAAGGAGCAATCCCCCGGTAACATTTCCACAACATTTCAAGCCAAGTCAATAAATTTCTATAAATATATTAAAAGGAAAAACCAAAAGAGAGAAAGCTAATAAATTAGACACATGTTCACAGCAGGCAGTCAGAATTTCTTGTAGATTTTCTTCTTGGTTTCTTCATTGGCAAAGAGTGAATAGATTTTGCCAGAAACGATTTTCTGCAAGTAAATATTTAGCTGAGAAAAAAAACAGAGATAAACAAGTCGAGAAGCACCAACACAAGGGCAGACTATCAAAAATCATCAGATACAGAGAGAGAAAAATTAAAGAGACACGCCATTAGGCCAGACGGACTAAAATTAGTATGAGCGCCACATACACAAAGTGATAAATATACACACAGACATCCTATAGATACGAAGATACACACCGTCGAAATGGAAATAGATATTTTTTTTATTTCTCGAGAAAAGAGTGCAAAACGCTGCCAGAAATTTGTCGCTGCCCTCATAATTCATAGATAGCCAGGAAAATGTGGTTAAAAGCAGACATATTTTCTAACTCTCTAACAATCTAATATGACTTGAATGTGGCAGTAAAAACACAAAGGAAATGTAACTGACAAAAGGAAAGTTTTTCCCCCCAAAAAAATATCTTAACTGCCTGCTTGCTTAGGCCATTTCATCCTGAAGTTTACTCGCCTCTTCTCCCTTAAGACTTGGCCAAAAGTGAGTTTTATATGCCCATTTGTAAGCGTTTTACTTCAGTTTAAATGCATGCTGTGGGATCTGCCCAGGGCTGTCTGGTAAAATTCATTTTAATTGCGTATACGTAATATTACGAGTGGCCTTTGGGTTTGTTTGTTTATTCAGCCAATTTGGTTAATGGAAATTCGCCAGAAGAACAAACTAAATGAATTGCATTTTCGTTCATTGATACAATTAAAAGGTGTATTAGGTAAACGCTGTAACCAGAAGAAGGGAAATGCATGTCAGTCACAGGCTGGTTTTAATTAATAATGCCAAGGCTAATACGAAATTCGAGTTAATTAAGCTTTAATTGTAATTGGAAAAGGTAATAAGGGTTGAGTGGAAAAGGAAAAATCCCACAAGGATTACACAGTCACAGACATTTACACCCTCTGCGTGTGTTACCTTTATTCAGCTTATTCAACCTCTCTTCCCCTCCTGGCCAAGCGAATTTCAATTACACATATTCCATATTCATAGAGTCTGTGGCCTGGCCTCGGGTGATGGACTGCCATCAGTAAATAATGCAAAAAAGTACATACATGCTCGAAAGTGGTAAAAAGCTGCAACAAATTGAGCTAGTAAAAGCTCAATCCAGTCAATACAAAGCTCAACGAAACAGGAAACCATAAACTTGTGGGTTCTAGCACATAACCGTAACCAGGAATCAGGAGTCAGAAGCCCAAGGAGTCTGGGGCAGAAACATAAAAACCAACTCAGTAATTGCATTACTCACTCAAAATAATGACCCATTAACCCGCAGGCCATTGCTCGAGAAACAGAAGCCGCGCTCGCCTTTAATTAGTTACTACAATATCTTAGTTAACCACACGTAGGACTTCACTGGCATTGCGGGCTGTCAAACAAAATTGCACAAAGCAAACGTGTTCGTCTGACGCAAAAAATAATATTTTCTTGCAGGGAAATTTTCCGTTCTCCCTTCTGAGAAGGAAAATTCCACTCCAAAAGTTGTTCCTTCAAAGGAAACCAAAAACGGGTGTGAGAGTATCATGGCCATGTGCTT